GTTTTGCTATGTCAAGTCGATTGTATTTTTAAACAAAAACTGCTCTATTTCACAATGCATAAATGTATTATTTCATTTAGGTGAAAAATTCACAAGGTTAAATGCTTCATAGAGATTTTGGCTCCTAGCCAGTGCCCTTCTGCAGCAAGTAGCTGGCAAGCATTGCTTTGCTGGAGACACTGCTTCTTCAGACACATTAATTTTAAATGATAGTTTTCACTAGCTAGAAATTATGAGAGAGAAAGTACAGCACCACATAGCAGGCATTTGAAAATCCTAGTCACTAGTTATTTATGCACTAAATAAAAGTTCCTAAGCAAGTCAAATCTCACCTAGGATCATTGCTTGCTAGGTTCAAGCTCCTTGAACCTTCCCAAAGGAAGCCTTTTAGTAGGTAAACCAGGTTTCCCAGTAGCAGGATCACCTCTGTGTAATATAAATACAATGCATCAGGCATTGTAACAAGTAATAAAAGAAAGAGCAGAATCTTATATCCACTAGAAGCTAAATGAAGCAAGGGCAGGATTGGCTTTAATCCTGGCCACTATGGTCTCTTTTCTGATCACCTGATTTGTCCCTTGCCGGTCACACCTAGAGCTTGTGAAGTTGTAAAAGGCAATTCTCCCTGTAGCTGAAAGAGATGGGAGTGTAGGGGCAGGAATAAATTTTCAACTGCTTGGAACCTGACTTTGGTAATGTAAGGGAATATTTAATGGTAGCTGGTGCCTTCTGGGAAGAAGTTTTGCATTGCACTCAGAATGGCAGTCAGGGTAGGCTTCTTGCTGCCACAGGACAGCAGGAACTGGGACCAGGTTCCAGCACTGAGCTGAATGAGAATGAGTATGAAAATTCAAGCTTTAGTAACACAGATGGGTGGAACGTTTTGGTCTGCTTAAACAAATCTTCCTACACTCTGCATTACCATATCCCAGTCAGTAACATGACACCAGAGTACTTTAAAATCCTCCTGTTACTCTGTGTGCCTTTATCTCCAAGCCAAACCCAGGCACATTGAGCCACCCACTAATATTAATCTCTGCAGGGTGTGTATGGCATATGTGAGGATCCCCTGCAGCCATGTCTTCTCTGGGAGCCGTGTGAGGAGAGGCTGGAGAGCGCAGTGCTGGGGGAGCAGAGCCCAGCTCCCAGGGCCTGCAGTACAGGGCTGAGGCTCTCACACTGCTGCTGCCCCAGCCTCAGCCCACCTCTGTGCGGAGCCTGAGTCCTTGGAGATTGAGATTCAGCCCCCTCTAGTAGGCCTCTACCCTGGCCTGCCGTGTTGTGTCTTCTGCCCAGGAGAGCACCTGCCCTGGGCTGCAGCAGCCTCGTCTCCCGCTGAGTCTCCCAGCAGGGAAGTGGCAGGGCACAGAGCCCATGTGCACATGTGGCCTGACCAGCCACAGTGGGCTCCTGGGAGGGCTGGCTGTGAGTGCGGAGCCTGTCCCTCAGTCACTCTGCGGGTGCTATGGGGGCATGGGAGTGGCACAGGTCATTCTTTGCCCTCCACATCTTTGCTGCAGTGGTGTTGATGCAGCATGGCTGCTGGGATGCTGCTTTGGGTCCTTTGTGTCTTGCCACCACTCCTTTGCGTTAAACCCTTTCCTGGGGTCCTGTGGGTGAAGCCTAACCCTCCCCAAAGGCTTGGACTCCAGCAGGCACAGCCTGAGGCAGTAACAGGGTGTTGTCTTTACTTTACTGGGACTTATTCAAGAACTACTGTTGAGAGCAGAATCAAATGCCAGAGTTAGTAAAGCACGGTGAAAACTCATCCACCCCAGGAAAGCTGTGTCTTCACTGAGTGCAGGCTCCCTCAGGCACCCCTCTTTTCCTCCAGGCAGCCCATGTTTGCCATAGGTCTGAACTAGCAGGATGCCAATTGGTCACCCAACCTTTTTGTGAGGAATTGGAGGGAGAACTGACCCAACAGGGGCAGCACTCTGCCTTGGCTGGGCTCCAGGAGGCTGTCCTGAACCCAGGTGTGGGCAGTCAGGGCTGCCCGTCCCCTCCCAGCTGATCAAGGGTTAAGCAGGCACTGCTGGGGGAGCTGCTCACCTTTCCAGCGAGGCTGCGGGGAATGGTAACTATCTTGAAAATAATCACAGTCCTGTAACAGGATTTTGTGTTTTTAACAGGAATGTGTTAATGTGGAGGTCTCTGGGAGCACACGGACAACGTGTCTTGAGTTGTAAGTTTTGACTCTCCTCTGTGTGCTGCTATTTGCATCTCCTGAGCTTAGGAGGAGAGTGAGAGATGAAGAGGATCTCAGGTCTATGCTTGTAGTGTCACCCCTCAGTGGTTTTGGTTAAGCACTGGCAAATATTGAATGAGCCAGGCAGGCAAGTTCCCTGTCTAGCCTCAGCAGTTTGTTGACAATTTATAGCAAGATAAGAATAAGTTATGGTAACTCAGAATGAGTTATTATCACTCTTTAAAATGAAATATCTTTCTTGAAAACCTAAATCCTTTTCTTTTCTCTATTTAGGGTGTGTTGAAAGTCTCTCTTTTTTTTTTTGGTGTAAAATATAAAATGCCATGTCAGCTTTTAAAATGTATCTTATACTGATGCCAAAATGGTCTCTTGCTGACTGTTGACAGCGTGTTTTTCTCCAGAAGCTAAAAGACTGACTGAGAATAAACATACCCCAAAATATTAACGTTTGGTTTTTTATTATAATATGTTTAAATTTTGAAAATATTTATGGCTATACATTATGTGGGGGGTTTTTTAATGACTGACTCTTTAGGATGTGCTGTATGAAAACTTCTAGGAAATGTAAGTACTTACATGATTAAACCTATTATAAGCTTCTAGTATCTAATTAAGAAATGAAGATTGGTCTTTAATTTGACTCCCTTATGAGCCTACCTGTGTCAATGACTTGGTTTTGCACCACAATTTGCAGAGTAATCACTGCTGGTGATTTGTCATTAGTTGTAATGGAAGTATATAGGATCTGCCAGGCAGCTTTACAGAGAAGGAAGGAAAGGGAGTGTTTCAGAACATTGCACTAATTCTACAGTTCCCTTACACATTTGGTTCTTTGTAGCTTTATATTACTCCCACATTATGTTAATTTCTGGCAGATTTTAGCAGGAAAAGAGTTTTTAAGTGAGGTTGGAAGATACAAGTACTCCAGTTGTAATCAAGGCTTAGGTTTGTCAGTTCTAGTCAGCTAAAACACCCATCAAGGTATTATTCTACTGCAATGGTTCTATCAAACTGTGCCTTAATTGTTACTGTGTATCTTCAGTTGGACCAAAATTATTTGTGCTTTCGAAAGCCTTTTATAAGTGCATAATAGCAATGTAAGAGGTAAAATACTGCAACAAAGTAGAAACTAAGTAGCTTAACAGAAAGCAAAAGCAGGAATGGAGTAAAAAAGCAAAATCACATAACATGCTCTTGCAGGTTTTGCTGTACTAGTTCTTGTTAGAATATTTATAGTTGTTAAGTGCTAAAAGTAGGAAAAAATAGACGTTTGACTTGATTAGATAAGGAAAAATAATTTTTAAAAAAACCCCACCAAATCATGCCACTGAGTATACAGTCATCTGACCCACATAAAACACTCAAGTTTTTGTAGACAAGAGGTTTCTTTCTCATGCCTGAACCACAGGGCTTACATCAGAGCAGTACATGACCAAGAAGCACAAGGAAGAAATTATGATAGTCCAAATGAATTAATTTGCATGTGTTATTATGTGTTATTGTTTCCAAAACAAATAAAAAGCAATTATTTGCTGTTTATATAATAAGAGCCTAGATTTGTAAAGGTATTCAGAAATTTTTGAGAAAAAATCCTGGATGTCTTGGAGGAAGTGGGGGGGGGAGAAGGGGAGGGGAGGGTGCCTGTATAATTTTTTAAATGTAATTTAAAATGTAATTTTAATTCTTCTTCTTGAATGTCTATTGAGGCAGAGGAAAGAAGTGAAATCTCTAGTGGGAATTACATTAAAAGTAAGAGTTAGATAAACCACTAGAATGTGTTTCCCTGGAATGAAGTTTTTGGTTTAAGCAATCCCTGATGAAAGGGAAATTGCAAGTGAGGAAGTTCATAGCTATGAGGAATACATAAAGTCTTTCACAGAAACTGAGTCTAATGGACTGGGCAGTTTAGAGATGGTAAGTTATAAACAGAAAAATCTATCTAATTACTACCTGTTTGGTGTTGAACCAAGGTATTGGACAGCTGAACTGATCCAACTTGGCAATTTTGCATTCTCAAGTCCTTTGATTTCTATTCCAGTTATATTAATTCTAAATTTTAAAAATGGAAGGAAATACCTGTCTAAAGGTTCAGGAAATGTATTTATGAAGTATTGAAGCTTATACATCTAAAGCAAAAATGAAGGAGAAGCAGCAACTGATTAAAACTTTTTGAACAAGCTTCCAAAGTAGTTAGGAAGTGTTCCCACCTAAATCAATTATTGAATATGTTGGGAGAAATACAGGAGTACTTTACTGTATCTTTTTCCTTAGTAGCACTTGAATGCAGCTATTTTTCTTTTTTTGTTTTATCTTGTTTCGTGCCAGATGTTCTTACCAGGGAAAACAATGGTGATGTGTTTTAATATTGATGAGCTGATTCTCCCGGGAATAACAGTATATCTACCTTCTCAGAATACAAATTGTGGGAGGTTTTTTATAGCATAGTTACCACAATGCATGGAATTTTAAGTGCACCTCTTTAAAACTGTGGAAATAACTTTCTGTTTATTATCTTTATTTTAACTACTTTAAAATGAGAATGACTCTTCTTTTAAAATTCTGTATTGTTTTGGTGGCCTTTAAAAAGCAAGCATATAAATCACCAGAGGTACTGTGTAATCTGTCAAAGCAGCATATGCTTAAGCACCTTATAAACTATTAAATAATCATAATATTTCTCTTTCCAAGTTTGTTAGTTTATTTGTTTGAGCAGTTGCAGAGGAGTTGCAGAGCGATTAAGGTACCTTGCTTTAACTTTTTTTCTCTCTTTTTTCCCTTCAGGAGCTTGAAGTACTGAAATCATAAATGATTTGCTGACAAGCTGAGCTTGCAATGCAGGCAATAAAAACGGTGGAAAAAGAAGTGACTTTTATAAAGGAAACACTTTTCACCGAATCCTTCCTAAAGCAACAAGAGTGCAGCAGAACCCCGGCGAGGAGGCAGCTCCAAGAGCAGCAGCCATTGGAAGGAGCTGTCTGCAGCTCTCAGTGCTGTACTGAGCATGTCCCAGCGGAGCCCAGTGCAAGCAGCACATTATGCAAAAAGGCAGCTCCAGCAGATGGGAGAGAGGCACAGCGAGCGTTTGCTTCACTTGCATCACCGCCGCCTGCAAACAAACCTGGATCGCTAGAGGGGATCTCGCCAGCAGGCCAAAGGAATGAAATCCGGGAGGATGGCTTGATTGCCAAAGGTGTTGCACTGCAAAAAATCATGGGGAATCAAGATGGGAAGCTAAAGAAAAATACAGGTGATGTGCAAGAAGGAGGGGAAGATGCCTCTGGGCCCAAGGATACGGACGGCACAAAGAAGGTATCGGGAGGCAGAAGGGGACTGGGGAAGCATGCAAAAGGAAGCGAATCGGGTAAGAAGAAGGGTAAGTCAGACTCCAGGCCCTCTGTGTTTTCAAATCTGAGGATCAGAAAAAATCTGTCCAAGGCTAAAGATGGGAATAGCAGCTCACGGGAGGATGTTTTGGAAAGCCAGGCCTTGCAGCCTGGGGAGCTGGACAGTACTCATTCAATTGTAACCAAAACTCCCGATATAAGCATCTCTGCAGATGAAGGGGGTCTCTCAGACACAGATGTCGAACATTTTGAAATCAGAAATGAAACTGTTCCAGCTGCTGCAGAGACACAGGATGGACAAAGGACCAGCTCTGGCTCTGATACGGATATATACAGTTTCCATTCAGCCGCAGAACAAGAAGATTTGCTCTCTGATATCCAGCAAGCTATTAGACTGCAGCAGCAGCAGCAGCAGGGGGCAATTAACATTGGAACTGAGGACGCTGTCACCAAAACAATGGGCCGACACATGGCTAATTCTCAAGCAACCCCCTTAGATTTTGAACGTTTTTTTTCAGTAACTACCACTGACAAAGAGAGGAGCCCAGACACTGAGGGGGCTTTTCCAGCGGTATCGGAAATTGTGGAAAGCGTTCCCGTCTCCTGTGCAGCTGAACGTGAACCAAAAGAGGCGGTAAATGGCACAGACTCTCCTGGTAACAGCTTATTTGAAACACAGGAACGTCAGCTACTGATTGAGGAGCAGCCCCTTGCTGGAGTGGATGCTGTAGCCAGTGAACTACAAGATGGTTTGAACAGAGCTGCAGGAGAAAATGGGTCTCAGACACACAGCTCCACAGAACCTTTTCCATCTCCAGTGGCAGATGCTGAGGCTAAAATTGCTGAAGTGCAGGCTGTTGATTTTCAGGGCTCAGTAACAGAGAGTGGTATTTCAGATGCAGGCCGTGATCATGCTGCTGAGACTCAGGAAGGGAAACACACTCTGTCAGCCAGTCAAGAGGAGCTGCGTAATGGTTCATCCACGGAAATGAAAAATGGCAGTTTGTCCTCTGAAGGAACAGCGGACAGTCCGATGCTTGGTTCCCGGTGTTTTAAGCCCTATCTAATTAATCCTTGTTACATCAAAACCACAACTAGGCAACTGAGTTCTCCCAACCATTCACCTTCTCCCTCCCCATCCCAGAGCCCGCTTTTCACAAGGAGGCAGGACTCCTTCCACAAGAAGGAAAAAGTCTCAATCAGGAAGAAGAGGTCTGCTAGTCTGGCAGGTTTATTCAGTCGTTCTGCAGACTGGACAGAAGAGGTGTCTAATCACAAAAGCGAGATATCGGAGAAGGTGAGCTCTGCAGACTATTTGGAGCACAAGGGGTTTAGAGAGAAATTTCAAGCGGAAAGAGTGCCTTTGACTCATTCAAGAAAGTCCTCAGGGGTCCAGGCTTCTACAGAGACATTTCCCAATGTCTTTTCAGGTGAGTGATATACACAATCAAGAGTTTTGGGCTTGTTTCTTTTTTCCCACAATAACTTTGAAAATATTTTTAAAATACTTTAATTCCTCACATCCAGTACCTTGGCCTTAGAATCCAAGGCCTGATCTTACAAACACAGTCACATTTCATCAGTCTGGCAGTACTGCCAGTAAAGGAAGTGCATAACTCTCTGAAGTTTTTCTTTCTACTTGTCTCCTTTGTCTACATCCTGTAGGAAAAGACTGAATGCCTTAAATTATTCTTGTTGAAAAATGCTAAAAGCTGCACTGTTGTAGGCAGATCAGCTCTCTGCATAAATAGATCTTTCAAATGCAAAGCTTTCCGTAACCAGGATCCTGTTTGGGGTTTTCTTGTGCTAGGTGCTGTTCTCATGTACTATAAACACATGAGAGCTGCACCTGGTGTTAGACTGAGACAATGATGAGGATTTGCTCAGTACAAAAAGGAAAAAGTCATGCTAAGCACAGATGGACAGCACTTCAGAAAAGAACCAATTTCCTCTTCAGAAGGGGAAAGGAGGTGAAGAAAAAAACTCCATGTATTGAAGGGCAGCAAAAACAGGGGAGGAGAAGGGAAACTGGGGGTTATACAATTTGGTAGCTGTGACAGGCTGCTGCTCAGGCTACATATGGTGACTCATTCAGTAAACCTTTTCCTTGCCTGTTAGGCAGCTTGCATCCTATCCCAAGGACATGGGAATAGAATAGAAAATTCACAAATAAAGTAGTGTGAGTAGATGGTTATGTTTTCCTTCACTCAGAGGGTTTTTTTTTTTTCCCTTTCTCTTCCCCTCACCTGAAGTTTCTTTCTAAAGGTAATATAATCATAATTAGGAACACTTCTGCCATATAGGAGGTATATATACAGAGAAAACTCAGCAGCATATTCCATATGTTTTTTCACTTGAGGAACCTGTAGAACTAAGAGAACATACCCTGCTATTAAATAAAATCAGATTTTTTTTAATGAAATCAGTTCTAGATGCATGAGCACTAATCATACATGTGCACAAGGTCCTTGTGAAAAATGGAGTGAGTTTTTTTTTTATGGTTTTATGAAAAGCAAACAAAAAAGTACAGTTTAGGAAGTAAATAACTAAAATTGTTTTCCAGATTCAAATCACAATGCTTTCATTCTTTAGTAGCCTTGAACTAAAATCCCCAATTTCAGTGTAGAAAATTAGAATTAAAAATTTTTAACACAGGAAAACCAGCCCCTCTGAGACTAGCCCGCTGTGAAGTGAGCTGAATCTTTTTTTAAAATTTGTTTTAAATCACTTTCACCTGTTTATTAGACTTAATTTTGGACATGCTACCTAAACTTTTCCAGTTTGAGGTGCTCACTACTTTAATAGCATATAAAGAGCACACTGAGGTTTTTTTTTTAGCTATCAACATTTGACAGCTTACAAACAACTCAGAAAATTTTTAATTGCTATGTCTGTAATTGGACTTTATGGTGGTGCTATGATGGAAATAAGTTGTGTATGGCAAACTTCAAGAACATGGAACTCCTTTTAACATACCTGTTTCCTGGGAAATAGACTTTTTCACATTTCCTCACAAGATGTTGATTTACTTAAAAATAATTTTTGTTTTGGTTTGGTTTTTTTTTCCCACCAATGCTTTAGACTGTTATTGTGAAGGGACCAGCATCCAATGCAACAGTAGTTCTATCTCTTATGGAAATTACAGTGACCCTCATTTGCATCTACATACCAGCTGTCTTTACAAGCAGAGGACAATTATATCTTTCAGTTCATGCAGAAAAGCTTCAAGTGAGGGAACTGGAAATGACTCATCTCGGTTTGGCCATTCATAGTTTTAAAAAATGTATTTACAAGCTAAAATTCATTGAGAATTTAAAAATAACAGCTAGTGTACATTAAGAAAAGGGAAATTAAACTTCACATTACTATTTCCATAAACTATTGCTATTGCTGTAAGAGCAGAAAAGCCTCTTTAAATAAACCATTCTGCACAACAATAATTACAGAAATAATAATTTCTTTGTAATTTTATACTACTTGTGAAAAATCTTGTATTTTACTTTCATGCATGAGATACATTGATCTGGGAATTAGCATCAGGCTTTTAGAAATATTTTTTATAGTGAGATATTTCTAGCCTAAAAAAAAAAAAAAAAACAAAAACAAAGCAAAGACAGTCCAAAACAGCTTCTTGCCTACAGCACGAAATCCCATTTTGCTGTGCAGCGTTGCTCTGCATTCCTAACTGGAATCAAGTAAAATATTCCACAGCACTTTATCATCGATTTCAATGACAGCAGGTTCTGTGCAGATGATTGGCCTACTTTTGCACCATGTTGTGGTTTGGCTGTGTGCCATTTGGTTTTCATAGAGAGCCATATGAACTCTTTAAGACTCCTTTAATGTCAAATGTAGATGGAAGTCAAGTACTTGAATGGCAGAGACTTTGCATATTTTAATTTTGCTTTATATAAGAAGAAAAGTACAGTATTTTGAATTCTATGCATTTTTTAGGTAAATGGCATGGACAAGTTTAAGGGCATTTTGTAATTCAGGCATTGGATCTATTTCATATTTTATGTGGACAGCTGTATTTGAATTTGTAGTGACAGTAATTGCAAGTTCTAGATTACTCAATGCACAGTGGAGCCATGGTTTTTATATGGTGGTCCCAGGAGAACAAGAGCTCAACAAGAGCTGTTTCTCTCCCTTTGGTATGTGGCAGTGAATAATTTGCACTAAAGTGGAGTATCTGGGTGGGAAAATGAAACTGATGTTTCCTAACATTAACATACCTGAAATGAAAGAGCCAATGGACAGATTTAGTAAAAAGGATTTCATTCTTGCATTAATTTGAGGTGCAGTGATTGTAGAGGAGCTAATAAGGGTGTCTTTTACATAAATGGAATGAGTCCCATCAGCTGCCCCAGATGGTAATTAAACTTGACCCAGACAAACCTATGCCCTTCCTAATCACTGTTGGCTGGTTGTAACACACTTGCTGCATGAATCTCTTTCAAACAGATAATTTATCTTTAAATTTTTCTTCAGAGACTTATATGTTTTTTCTGCTCTGTCTGTAAAGAGGAGACAAACAAAAGCCCTAGTTACCACAAAACAAAACCTGAAGCCAGTGCTGTGCTTGTGTACTCATGTCTGCTGATTTCTTCCATTTTATTTCACTTTTGTACTGTGCCTATGCTGTCTTCCCACTTGCAATTGCAGTGCAGTGTCTGCAGGCATGTACATAGGTTTAGTATAGATAAGTATGTGAAAACTTGAAAAAGTTGGATGAAAGTTTGTCTCTGAGATATAAAGTAGATCTTTTTAAATGCTTTCTTTAAGGCTTAAAAAAAAAAAAAAGCCTTCTCTGATTCATGTGATGCTGCACACAATATGGATTTGTATCTGTTGTCATCCTGAGTGGACTGTTTTTCATGCAGCTGTTATTTAAGATTACTTATGGTTTGCTGTTTCACTGCTGATGTTTGCTAGCAGTAATACAGATGGCTCTTTTATCAGACGGGGTGTAGCCTCCTCTAACTAAGGGAGCTGCCCAGCAGCATCCCTCCATGTGGTATGTGATCACACGCTACACTGGGTGCTGCTAGCAAGCATCTGAAGGCAAAGATCCTCCTCTTTTTGCCTAATACACACAAAACTTGGGGCAGGGGGAAGACTCCCATACTGCACTTCAACTGTACTGAAATGTGTGTGAAAGTGGGCTGCAATATGTTGTTGAAAGACTGCTGAGTACTGATAAGTTACTTTAATGTTTATGTGCCAGCACTGCAATATGGGATTTGGAGCAACATGAGTAATTCCACTGGAATTCAGTGCTGCCACAGGCTTGTTTTGATGGGATCTCATGATTAATACTTTGATCTTTATCTAGAACTTCATTGGGAGTAGCAGGTTTTGGTCATGAGATTGGGTGGCTCTATCTATTGGGAGCCGCATTCCGAGCAGCATCACATTCTGAGGTATGACTGGCAGCCCAACATGTCTGGAGTAGCACTGTGTGATCTTGGTTGTCTGATGGTCTTTTTTGGGGTGCAAAGGCGTAAAGAAATATGGACAATTATAGCTAAAGTGTGTGCATCTCTACTTGATTCTGAGACACCGTACCACTACAATATCTGTCACACAAGGCACCTGTCTGGAACTGACCATTCAAGGATGTTGTGTGTTTCAGTGACTTCATTTCTGTGAAATGAGCAGTGGATTATTCCAGTGGGAATAATTATATGGAGGTTAAGTTTGATTATATTTCTTGGGTCTCATTGTGCTTTATTATTTTTTAAATATGCGTGTATTTTTAATAGCTTGGGGCATGATTGGTTTTTTTTTTTTTTTTTTAAAAAAAAAAAAAAAAACAATCCCCCAAAAAAAAAAAAAAAAACCAAAAAACTGTGTGTAGGACTTATTTGCAGAACAAAAAAAAAAAAAAAGACCCCAAAACAAACTATTTCTTTTTGTTCACAGGGGAAAAAAAAGGCTTTTTTTCCCTTGTGCTGTTCTGAGGAAAAAAACCCCTTGGATTTCAAAAGCAGCTCTAGGGATATTTTAAGCTGACTGTATATGAAGGATTAAGTTTTAATGTGAATAATGGTGATAAAACACTACCAAAATACTAATTACCCAAGATATTTTGCTTGTTTAGTGTTTTAGTCAAGCTCAGGATACGGCCAAGTGTATTCTTTATGAACTATCTCTGCCAAAATTTCAGCTTACATAAGGAGTAGCAGTGATGAACCATATACGTGTAGGTGTGGGTGACTGCAGCTCTGGTTATTCTTAGGTGCATTTAAAAACATCACTCTGTAGCACTTAGCTGGACTGCAAGTTTCCAGAAACTTACATTTATGCAGGCAGTTGATCTTTTTTGGGAATGGGGAGAGTTGGTACAAAGGTAACAGGGCAAAAGCAAAAAGAAGCTGTGACAGGAAGGTGATGGACAGATGTTAGGACTTTACATTGTGTCACTTCA